AATGAATAAGCTCCTGTGTCTTCCTCTTCCCAACCTCATGACCTTATCTAAGCCCAATTACCTCCCAAAGGCCCTGCCTCTAAATACCATTACATGGAGGGTTAGGGTTCAATGTAACATATGATTCTGGGGGGACACAAACAGATGGAAGTGTTTTGTATATTGAGTATATCAATGTCAGTATCCTGTTTGTAGTACTGTATTATAGTTCTGCAAAATGTTACCATTAGTACCTAGGATCTCTCAATGTTATTTTTCACAACTATAGGATCTCTCAATGTTATTTTTCACAACTATCTACAATTACTCGAAATAAAAATTTAATTAAAAAATCAAACTCAATGTTACTGGTTCTTACTCTCCTCAACATCTAAAGAAAAAAACAATTTATTCTGGCAGAGAAACAAATCTCTTTAGTCCACTTCTGATAAATCTTTCGAACCTATCATTTTTCCTTTAGCCCTACTATTTTGTTTAGGTCCTTATCCTCTTTTGCCTAGACTATCACAATTATAGTGCGGCTGACTTTTTTGATTCTAGTATCTTCTCTTTTCAAATTTTCCCCTACACTCAACTCAATTTGGTAAAGTTATATCTAATTTTATGCTTATTCTGTGCCAGGAATTGAGTTAGGTTAGAGATATAAAGGAAGTCTTTGTCTCCCCATGATCTAGTTTGAGAGACAGATAAAAAAAAATGTACATTTGAACTGAATTGTAATTCAATGTGATAAATTCTCCCAAAGAGGCATGCGTCTAAATTATGAAAGAGGAGGAAATATTTAGTTCTGTCAGGGAAAGCATGTGGCATTTTATCACTTATTGAGAGAGAATACCTTTCTACAGCTCATACCCACTTATTTCATCACTTTGCGTAAAAAGTTGATAGTGATTTCCTCCGTGCTAATGCATATAGTACTTAAGAAAAAAATCCAAGACGAGAAATTACCTAGAACTCTATTTCCTCATTGGAAAACATTTTCCTGTAGTTTGGGAAAAAGAACGAGCAAGTTCTAAAGGATTTCTTGCCCTTTCTTTACCTTAAAAATAAGGATAAAAAAGGCATAGAATTTGGAATAGATAAGCCATATAAAATTAGTAGGATGCAATTATAAAAGGTTCTGTGGCTAGGATAATTAAAGCAAAAATTAAATTTAAAATGTAAGTTTCTT